TGCGAGCTTGTAATGTAAAATAAAAACCCTCTGCCCTCAGCTTCTCTTCTAAAATGAAAAAATTCAAAAACTTTACTAGCTGTTCATTTAATTGAACAGCTAGTGAAAAGTTTTTGAATAGCTATTTTGGAAAAAAACAAATTCAAAACAAATAAAATTATAATTGAGTTTACGTTTGCAGATCCTACGAAGTTGTACAAATGCAGTGCACTTTTGTATCTATACTGCAAAAACTAACGCGTTTTGATTTCCAAACTGTAAAAGAACTTCAGCAATATTTGCAGCTTTAAATTTGTGCTGCCATTAACAAAAATAATTATAACCTTATATTTTAAATATAAGACCGCCTAAAAATTTTTGAAAAACTAATTTGTTAAGAAATAAAAGCCTCTTAAACATAATTGCATCAGATTTTTCAATTTCTTTAAAACTTTTCTGAATGTTTAGTTTGTGTATGTACATATTGTCACCTTAGATCAGAAGTATCCTAAGTCCAACTTTTTGAAATGGTGACGATATGTATTAAAATTAGGGCACTATGATCGTCTAACAACTATCATATTATACGAGTATTAGTATAATACTGATGTTTTGGTATAGATCTCAGTAATAATTTCGATTGAATAAATAATTTTTTTTTGAGTAAAAAAAATCAATTGCTTACAAAAGATGGCTGAGAAACAAAAGGGTGAAGTACAAACACAATTATCTAAACAATCTAGAAAAAGTTTGACTTTGAACCGTAAACCGAAAAAACGAGGAGTAATTAATATCTTTTCAAAATAGAACTCTTAAAAGCGAACAAAGTTTTAAACCACTTAAAGTATACCTTCTTATTTTTAATGTTACATATGTACATTGGAATTATTGGGATTGGGAAAGTGTTCACAATAGAAGTCTACCTATTTTTTATGTATTTTTAAAGGCGTAAAAAACCATTTCTGTAATCTATTCTTGTACAGGGTGGCGAAAATGGTGTTTCCATATTAAGAAAATGAACAGATTTAAAAACAAATTAGGTGATAAAGGTAAAAAAAAATACAACTTGTATATGTATATAATTTTAAAAAGACAATTAATATTTAAAAAAAAATTAAATTTTTAATTAATAATAATTGTTAATAAATGGCTTAAATATAAATTATGGGTTTTTTGTCTTTATAAATTTAAAGCACATATTTCACATAATTTGAAATAAATTACGGATATAAACAGCTATCGGTAATACATTGAATAAAGTATGAGTCAGTAATCAGTATGCATACACATTTTTTTCTTTACAAATTGCCGACCTAATTCTGTGAATCATCTTTTTCGTAATAAAAAAGAAATATTTTGAGAATTTTCGAAGTGCGATGCAAACATCGTATAAAGAAAACATGGTAGTATATTCCGAGTTTCAATTTTTGTATTTTCTGCGCATCTACGTCATCTGCATGGTAGAAATTTTTTTAGGTTATGTACATTGTTTTATAGGAAAATATGAGTTTCTCATAAAAGACCTATTTTGTTTTTGAAAAAATAAAAGATAAAGCTATTTTAGTTTTTTTGAAATTTTAATTCTTATTCAATGTCACTATTAAATATATTTTTTAACTTTTAAATTATAATTTTTTAGTATTTTTTATTTAAAACTTTTGAAAATAAAGTAACATTACGTTAAAATTTTATTTAGTTTTCTTTTTCTTTTTCGACTGTTTGCTGATATTTCAGAATTATCTATTTGTATTTTAAAAAATATTTTGCAGCGGAAAAATTTCTTTTTTATATTTGAATCTAATTCTACGTCATTTGCCAGCGTCAATAGATTATTTAGATAATTAAGGTTGACCCTTGATAATTTAGAATTATAGTTTACGAATATTTGGTTAAGTTTCTGTAATTTCTCCATAAAGTTTTCGTTAGGTTTGTGTAACATTCCTTCGGATACCATATCAGTCCAAGTGAAACTGGTAGTTGGGTTTTATTCACAATAGTTTTCTATTAAATTTGTTCGAGTCCATCAAATTCTAAATCATTCAATTCTTCAATTGTATCATTTACAGTAGGCTCTGTTAAATCTGAAAGCATCCTATTTGCTAAGAGATTTTCACAATCATCGATTTGAATTTCTTCGTTGTTACTATTCGGAATTGAAACCCCTTCATCAACATTCATTTTAAAAGCTGCTTGCCGATCTTTTTCTACATTTGCAGATTGAGATATGATTGATTCATTTCGGCCCAGCAAATAGTTTCTAAGACGATACTTAAATTGTAATGCGGAAGGATGATCATATAGTCCTCCTTTTGCTCTCATAATTCCAAAAAAAAGTTCTAATGGATCTTGATTTAGCCTATACGTTAGCAAATATTTTGTGTTGTATTTTGCTTCTAAATCCTTATACATCATTTGTAATGCAACATTATTTCTTAAAATACCTTTTTGGAATGGTAATAATTCTTTTCTATTTCCGATTCGCATATTTTGAACTAAGTTATTGATGTCTGTTAATATTTTTTCATGTTCCTCTGCAGCTAAACCATAAGCAGCCATTCGTGGCCGGGAATCAATATTAGGTACTTTAGAATTGAATAAATCAAACCAATCGTTAACCTTAAATAAAAAAAACTAATTAATCACTTTTTTAAAACTTTCTGAAAAACAACTTACTATTTTAAGAATTATTGATAATTCAAGCCAATATTGAGATTTTGCAATGCCTAAAGCTCCCATTCTTTTTAAAGCACAAGAATTGGTGTGGGAAAAAAGTTGTGTAGCAAATTTTACTTTTTGTCTTTCGGCTTCTTTTACCGTCAAATGGGTGAATGTTATACGGCTTATTTTTAAATCAAATAATGACATATTTTCTAACAACTCTACTAGTGGCTCCTTTGTTATTAGTTTTTCTTCAAAAAATATTCCTGAATCCAAGAAATGATTTCTAAAAAGTTTAATTAGATGGGGCACATCACTAAAAACATAAATTTTGCTTTTAGCATCGCAAGGATTCACAAAAAATGGTTTTTCAACGGTAACTTCTAATGTATTCCATAGCTTTTGATTTGAAGCGCCTAAATCTGAGACAACACCTACAACGTCATAGCCAATTTGATGTAACTTTTGTATGATTTTATGTAATATATTTTGTGTTATCGGTTGATCGTAGCTATAATATAATGGTTGCTTCCAATTTTCAAAGAGGCCTCTGGCCATTACAACCTATAATATATGTTTTATTCGATAATTAAATAAAAAAGATATAAATAATCAAGCATACCTGAACATAATTAACTGGCTTAAGTAAGTTATCGCTTTTTTGATCGTATTCGAATGATTTTTTTATTTTCATTTCGTCGAACATTAGAATACAAACTTTTTGATACTTACTTAAACTGGCACTACCCATCAAAACAAAAACAAAAGTTAAACATCCAGGGTTTATATCGATTTTAGATACCCATTTTTTTAAAGTTGAAACTGCTGGAAATGGATATTTCTTTTTTAATAATAATCTATAAGCCTTAGGACCGCTGGAGTAAATTGCAATTGATTCTGAAATGTCTTCGATATTCCATTTAACTCGATTTCCTTTTTTAGCCATTTTTTTCCTTTGATTCGGCGTAAAAATATTTTTTAAACAATCATTTTCCTGCTTCAAAAAGTAACATTGTTTGCTCAACATCTTGTTATCGTTCTTCAATTGCTGTTTTGTAGGTGATTTTGATTTACTACTATGAAATCAAAATATTACATTTTCGAATTATTTAACTAAAACATTTGAATTACCATTCATTTAAGCCTTCCGTGCTTGTTGATTGGTCACATTTTGAATTTTTTTCTTGAACTTCATCGTTAGTGTGAACTTCAACACAGTCAAGATTTTCGATCTGGTTGTCTATTTTCCTAAATAAAAGAAATAACAAAAGTTAGTTGACAAAAAATCTAAAAATTTTGAAAACTAACTTACACAATATCAATGACTGTTCCCTGTCTTCGTTTTTTATTATATCTTCCTAATCGTTCAGAAACTGTTTCACTTGACTTGGACTCAATTACAAAAGGCAAATTTTCTGTCGGAACTGCGTCATCCTTCAATTTTTTACTATTTTTTGGCGAATAATTCAGCAGTTCATGCTGTAAGTTTCGCCGATAATGTTCTTGTACAAAATGTTTACTACATATGTACGAACTTTGGATATTAAATTTATCTTTTCTTCCACATTTTTGTATCCACATTTTTACGATTTCCTTATTTTTTGGAAATCGAAAAAATTTCGTTTCCTTGAACGATGGATCATTCAAATTTCTTTTTAATTTCTTATCGCTGTTGCTATTGCAATTAAAAACCGCGCAAATAACCATTATAAATTATATTTTTTAAATTATTAATTTTACTCTTACTATACGCCCGTCACTTTTGTATGAAAAAAATTTTTGTTTACATTTTTTGCCATGCACGTGACGTAACACATTTAAAAAGAGATAGCAACAGACATGCGCAATATATTAAAATGTTTTTCTTTGTACCATGCCATGCAAACGAAACTAACTGTTTTGAAAGAGTCGAACTACTACTTCTTAATTGTTAATCAAAGCGGTTAACGGCAGCGGCGGATAATTTTCGCTGTCAATCCAGAATAGCAGCAGAACGGCAAAATCATCTGTACAGTATCTTGCAAATAATGTAATTTTCACATAGAAATAGATAATGTCAAAAAAAAACGCTACCGGTAAAATACAATTTTAGGTTATTTCATGATCGGCAATTACAGGAGTATTTTTGAATCCCACCTGTTCGACTTCCAGTTCCCAAGAAATTAGAAAGCCTTGCAAAAAGAATTTTAAACAAATCGCAATAATTTTTTGTAACATGCATCTGACACATTGTTTTTGGCAATTACCCTAGAATTTAATTCGATTATCGTTAAAATTATACAGCTGATTATAAAATAAAAACAAACATGACGGCTTCATATGTATGTACACATGTATTTTATTTATTTTATGATTTATGTAGGTAAAGAACGTTATGTTGTAATCTCCTGAATAACATTGCTATTTGCTACTTTTTAACAAACTCGCAGTATCATGCTATCTAGACTTAAATTACTAAAGTATTTAAAAAACCTTAATCGTTGCTATTCATCTTCAACTAAAAATTTGTTAGAGTTACAAAACAGAGGTTTTTATCAGGATATATTTCCAGATAATGTTGGGTAATTAATTTGTTTTAAATTTAAAGTGTTTAAAAATAACATATTAATAACATTGAAGGCCACAACTTAAAAAGCTATTTTTATCATCACCCCAAACTATCTATGCCGGTTTTGATCCTACAGCTAAAAGTTTACATATTGGTAATTTGTTAGTTATAATAGGATTATTGCATTGTCAAAGAACTGGACATAACCCAATAGCATTGGTATTTTAACTAAAAGCAAAATTTTTGGTTAAGTTTACATGTATTAATATAAAGTTTTTTTTAAGGTTGGAGGAGCGACTGGTTTAATAGGTGATCCAAGTGGGCGAACAACAGAAAGAAGTCTATTAGGCAATACCATTATAGAAGAAAACTTAGCTTGCATAGAAAAGCAAATAATTACAATATTTGAAAATCACAAAAGGGAGATATGGCAAAAACAAAAACAAAAAGGAGCATTACGTCAACTTAAGTAAGTCCTTGCAAATTAGTTTTTTTTTGTTTGTACAGCCGATAATTTCACGTATATTTAAGAGTAGTGAACAACGCAATTTGGTATGAAAATTTAAATCTGATCGATTTTATTTCAAAAATGGGTCGACATTTCCGAATGGGATCAATGCTATCACGATCTTCAGTACAAACACGTTTAGCTAGCTCTGAAGGAATGAGTTTTACCGAATTTACCTATCAGATTTTTCAAGCATATGACTGGCTACATTTATATAAAACTTATAATTGTAGATTTCAACTTGGTGGAAGTGATCAAATGGGAAATTTAATGACTGGTCATGAACTTATAAGTAGAATAGAAAATAAAAGTGTTTTTGGTTTAACTTTACCAATAATTACCAATGAAGAAGGTGATAAATTTGGAAAATCTGGTGGAAATCCTATATGGTTAGATAGCGAAAAAACTTCACCATTCTCATTTTACCAATTTTTTATACGCACACCTGATTCTGAAGTGGAAAAACTTTTAAAATTATTTACATTTTTACCGTTATCAGATATTGATGGTATTATGGAAGAGCATCGTGAACGACCGGAAAAACGTATGGGACAAAAGGAGCTTGCAAGAGAATTAACATTACTAGTACATGGTAAAGAAGGATTGGAGAAAGCTGAAAATGTAACCAATGCTCTATATGAAGGAAATATAGATGGGTTAAGTGAATTAAATATTAATGAAATAAAGCAAAATTTTTCGGGTGCAACATTATGCGAAATTCTGCCTGAAGCAGGCATGACAGTATTAGATTTAGCAATGAAATCAAAATGCTTTAAAACTGAAGTTGATGCTTGCAGAATTATTTCAGCTGGGGGGTTTTATATTAATCTAAAGAAGGCTCAAAATATATCAGAAATTATATCGCCTGGAATACACACATTAAAGAACGGGCTAACATTACTTAGAGTGGGTAAAAGAAATTATTATATTGTCAAATGGCTTACATAAGTAAAAGTTAAAGAAAATAGTAAAAGAAATTAACTGTAGCGAAACTTTTTTTATTACATAATTATACTAAAACAAATAAATTTAAGTAAAAACATTATGCAAAGTTTACGAAATGCCTTTTTCTTTCGTAATCATTTCTTATATACATATAATATATTTATATCAAGATTTTTCATTCACGTTTAAAACGTTTCAAAAATTTTTTTCGAAGGGTCAAGCATCACATTTTGCCTTCAAGAACTCTTCTAATAATTTGTCAAATTTATCTTTATGGTGATTTTTTATATATCTTCGTGTACCTTTTAATAAATACGTAAAAACGGATGAACTAAATAAACTACATAAAATGGAAAAAAATATATCAATATTGTCACTATCGCGATATGCTATTAGCGCTCTATTGAACTTGTTAACATCTTGAGATGATAAAGAACTTCGAATCTTAAAATTGAGAAAATATTAATATAGTTTGCCGAATATTGATAATTGAATTTCTTACCAGTTTTAAAAATTCTAATCTATCCATTGTTTTTGATACTTTTTCATTATCCTCAGAAATTGAACTTTTAATTATTGTTTTGCTTTCGAGTAAATTTCTATTTTCGATATTAGAGTCTTTATCAATATCAGTGTCGTTACCAATTATTTTCAGCTTTTTTTTCTTAGAAAGATTTTTTAAAATATTCTCGGGCGACGTTAAATCAGCACATCTATCTCGTTTATGAATTTTAACAAAACTTGGACTAGACACAACTGTCGACATTTGATCAGCTATTTGATCATTAAAATTTATTACTTGGGCATCACCTTGGTATAAACGGGTAGAAAAATCTGTTTCTTCTTTTTTTATATTTTCAGATTTATATTTATGAATATTAAACTGACTGCTGGAATCACTAATTACCCCAATATCACTTTCTGGAATTATTACACGATTTTCGTTTTTCACTTTGGGAATTGTGTTCACAAAAGCTGATTTGCATTCAAAACTGGTACTAGGTGAACTTCTATTATCAATAACTGATAAACCTGTTGTACATTTTGCTTTATCGAAAAATAACTTCAGTTCCCTTATTATTTTGCCAAAATTGTTTTCACTATCATTAGCATTTTTTAAGTGCTCTTGAATCCATGTTGACAATTGTGATTGTTGACTACGATTGGCAAACCTTGAATCACATAGTAAGATAGCACCATAATCATCTTTATGGCGTATAACACGACCAATAGCTTGATTAACTGCCCTAGTTGCTTCAAGAAAATACCAATCGTTACCTGATAATAATTCATTTTCCCTTGTTCTATTGTGCTCTAAATATTGTTTTTTTAAAACAACTCTGGAATCTTTGAAAGGTGGAAATGGTAAACCTGTAATTAATACAGCCCTGCCATTTGCATCTGCAAAATCTAAACCTTCTGAGACTTTTCCACGGCACACCGCAAAAAAACATGCTCCACTATATGTCGGATTGTTAATTTTATCATAAAATTCAGCCATTGTAGCAAGAAACGCTTCTTTACCTTGCGGTTCAACAAAAATTGGTTTTCTTTTTGATATTCTACTATAAATTCCACTTGCTTGCCAACTAGAAACACATTTATTCATAACCGCATATGACGGGAAAAAAACTAAAACACCGTCAGGAATAACATTACAAAAGTTCGCTATAGTTCCTCCTAGAGAGTTGATGTATTTTGGGTTGTCCCGATTTTCATAGTTAGAAATTAATTTCTCACGATCGGGACCGTTCGAAACTACTTTAACAAAAATTTGCGATGGTTTTATTATATGAGGATTTTCAAGACTATTGGATATTGGTATTCCTAATTCTGCTATCAATGGCTTTAATGGTGCTAATGTACCGCTAGTTAAAATTATGCTCCTAACTTGTGAATTTAATAAGTAGTGCATACCAAACCCAGGGTTAAAACACCAAAAATTAACTACTTTAGCCATTTTTAAACCTTGATGGGCTTTAGATGAAATCCATCCATCTTTGTCGGCACCTTTTGTTTTTCTTATTTCCTCAACTTCGAAATGAACTTTAAAAGATTTTGCCATTTTTTCTACTTTGTCGTCTTTCATACTATCAAACACAATTGCTGTTAATTGTGCAAAATTTTGAAGACCGGCCCCTTTTCTGAAAGCTAAATTTCGTTGTTGTGCAGCTGCCAAAAATGTCAGCAATTTTTCTAATAATGTGATTACCATACTGAAGCAGGTATAATTAACATTTGCTTTGGAGTATAATTCAAACATGTAGTCTCCAGGGAAAGTAGTTCCTGAAAATTTATTTGGCAATTCAACTTCATCAATGGCTTGCTCGAATTTCAAAAGGATTTCTTTAAGTGCTACTAAATCATCTATTGTGAAATCTTTAACTTCGTCTGAGCCTCCACCCATTTCTAAGAAAGCATCACCTTCGTCAAGCATTTTCATAATAAAAGTTACCTCTTCAATAGCTAGTGCAATGTCAGATGATTTAATACAGACCGAAGCAGCTTCCTCACACATTTTTTCAACATTATGTGCTTCATCAAATATAATGATAGTGTTTCGTAATTGAATGTTGTTTGCTCTGCGTGCATTCGGATCAATCAAGTAATTATAAGGCATAAAAATTATATCAGCCTCTGAAGAGATTTCCCTTGAACCAAAATATGGACACATTCTAATTTTTCTGCCAATTGCCACTAAATCCTCAATATCCAGAACAGGACTTTCAGCTATCTCTGGCCTGTTTTTTTTTTCTTCTAACCGTGAATGGAATGAACAACTTCGATTCGTAACGTGAATTTTACATAACTGAATTTTTTGTGCACTGTTTTGTTCTTGCGAAACTTCTGGATGTATGCACATTTGATCTCGCGAGCCAAGTACAATTGCTTTTACAAATGAATATGAACTTCTTTTAAGCTCTTGAACAGCTTGAGATAATTGTGAGTGAGTACGACTTGTGTAATAAACTTTTGGTATATCCCAAGATTTTAAAATGTCTTGTGAAATATCCCCCGGTTTATTATGTGCTTTCATGTTGCAAATTACCTTAAAACAGAAAATTAATTAAATTCAAAATTTTAAGATTAATTACCATTTCTTTTTTATGTAGTAGCCAGGCTAAAGTGCTACATAACAAACTTAATGTTTTGCCAGTACCGGTAGGAGATTCTAAAACAGCATTCGTGCTACTTTCAAGAGTTTCAATGACCTTCTTCATATACGCAACCTGGACAGGATAAGGCTCAAAAGGAAAATTAACTTTCACGCCATTAATTTCAACTTGAGACATTTTGATTTTATGATTATTTAAATTATTTCACCAGAAGCATTGAAAAAGTTTATAACTACAGGGAATTAATAGTAACCAAAAGATTTTTAAAAATTTTTGTTTGATTTTTTGTTGATAACTTGCCGCTCAACTAAATGTTCACAGGCTCCCAAACTTTTGTTAGGTAAAACGTCATATGAATATATAATTTAAGAATAGAAGAGATGACTAAAATAAAAAAAACTTTTGTGTATCTTCTTAAATTTATAAACGTCACTGTAAAAGTATTTCTAAACGCAACGATTTTCATTCCAGTGTTCTAGTTTAAGCATAGATGCTAATAACCGATAATGTAAAAATATTGCAAAATTATATGAAATCAACTGAAAATTTTGTGATGTTCTTATTTTGTACTTTTTGTTTTATTCTTAATGTATTTCCTTGGGATTTTTAATACTAAATATATGTAATACTAAAATGCATGTACTTGGATATTAAAAGGTTTTTTACGATTACGCGGGTTGCAGTTATTCGGTTTGTAAGATATGTAAAAGCATACAGATTTTTACATTTTTAACCGGATTTTGGTCTTTAATTACACAGGTTTTATTTTACATGTTGTGTTAATATAACTTTCTAAGCTATGACAATATATAATTGGTCTTCAGTCAGTTAATGGGTCATATGTGCATATGCGCTCTAAAATGTGGTAAAGCATATATTTTTCTAAAGCAAAAAGCTTTCTAAAGCAATAAATTTTCTATAAATGTAATTTTATTTTAAAAAATAACTCAAATGGATTTTTTATGTGTTTTTTTTTATTAAATCGGTTTGTGAACAAAAATAAATAATTTTTTTAAATATTTCTGAACGATAATATAAAAATTGATCTTAATTCAAGAGTCAAGACCAATGAAATATACAGTGCATAGAAAAGACATGTGTAAGCATGCTATTATGTCATTTTTCATTTTAGCTATCGATGATCGATTTCGAGTCTTCAAAGTATTATATTTATGGTGTTCTTTAAAAATTTTGCTTTCTTTTGACAATCCAACTATTGACATTTCGTTTTGTAGTGTCAAACGGGAAACTTGTGTAAGAGTTTAATTTCGGATTGCGACGCAGCAACGGACGATTTTTAAAATAAGTTTTTTTTGTTTTCTTTTTATTTTATTTTAATTTTTGTGTTAAAAATCTAATTAGCAACAATATTTTTTTCTCCAATAAAGCTTGCAAGTTAAACGAAAAAAATTATTTATTCAAATTTGTGAATGTGTTTTTTATTAACTTGCGTAAAAAATAGAAAAAATAATATTTAAATATTACAACTCAAAAAAAAAAAAGAAAAAATAAAGTGAAATAAAACCTATTGGATTACTTTTACACATAGCCGTTTCAAAGGGAATAAGAAGCAAAAAAAAACTTTCAACAAGATGTCCGAAGAAAAACAAGAGAATGGTACCAATGGTGGCGATGTTCCGGAGATTGAATTAATCATTAAGGTATTTAGTTTTATTTTTATAATATTAAATTAAAACTAAGACACTTTTGAGTTATTAAATAAATTATTAGATAAGTATTTACGTATTTAGATGTCTTAGAATGTTCTTTTAAGAGAATCTTAAATATCTACTTAATTGAAAAACAAACATAACGCTTCTATATCTTCATTAGAGTGTGACACGTACATAGAACTAAAGAGGGCGGCCTTGACTTGCAAGTTTTATTATAATTTTTTTTTTATATTTTTTTATTAAAAATTTTATATTTGAAAAAATATAGAATTATGGCGAAGATAAATAAGAGCGTTTATAGGTACGTAGACATTATTTTCCTACGAGTACTAACGCATTTGAAAAAATTCAAAGAAAATTATTACTTTTACTAAGATTTTCAAAAATTTACTGGGATGGGATTTTAGGGGCAATATTTTGCTATTTAATTGTGCAAAATATAAACATACTCGTATGTACATATTATGTGTGCATATGACTTATGAGTCATATTACTTAATTTTCCAAAAGGTTCCCGAACATCATACTAAGAATAAGTTTTAATTTTCCGCTTGATTCAGTAAATATGCAGTTACATGTCCACTTCTTTTTTGGCTAAGTATTTAGGTACCTAGTAACTTTACAGTTCTTTAGTGTGGTATGTCTGCTGTATATTATCACAAGTTGTATAGATATGTAACTATAAATAGACCTTATGTCTAAAGAAGTTCTATTTTAATTTATGGAAAATATAGCTGAATACGTACTTGTTTAGTTTACTAATATTTTAATATTTGAGCAGTTTATAACAAATGAGAATTGAGCAGAACTGCAATCTTTAAATATAAATGAGAATAAAAAATGTTTTGAAAATCGTTTACTTATTTGCAGTAAAAATTAAGTCAATGCCCTTTTTTGGTAGATTTCTTTGCAAAAATTTTTCATATTTTTTTACGACATGAATTATAAAATATTAGTTTTTTTTATTATTGTTATTGAAGGGTGGGGGTGAGTATGTATGAGCGTAAAATGCACTTACTTGCCATGTATTCATTTACATTAACAGAAACTAGACAAAATATTGTAATCGAACTAACTAAGGGGGTATGAAATTATAGTAGGTAGGTAGATATATCTATATACCTATATATATATATATACATATATATATATATTGGTGCTATATTAAATTCAAACAACTAACATCCTAGTTATGTAACAATAAAATTTATCTATGCAGATTTACACAAAAATATTTTAATTGTATCTAAAGCTAAATAAATAACAAAAATTATATGAATGGAATATTTTTATGATTTTCTGTATAATTTGCATGCATATTCGTGTAACATTAAAAATCTTATTAATTTTTATAGTGAATAGGTTTATAATAAATATAAATTACTTAGGCGCCGAAATTTGAGAAATTTGAAAACTGGATTAATGATAATTAGCTGGGTACCTACCAACCTCTTTAGTTACCTATCCACCTAGAGTTTTCAAATAAAGAATTATTTTTCAAACTCATTCTTTAAACCATTCTCGCTCTAATTTGGAAATTTTTTTTCTGTTTGTAAATTGAATAAAATAAAAAATAAAATACGAAATTTAAAAATTAGAAATAATTAATTCTAATATTTTTGTACACGAATTCTCATACAAAATTATGTTTTTTATTCAATCTTACAATGTTTTGAGAGAGCAAGTATATATATAAAAAATTATAATTTGTTGTTATACAATTCTCTTGAAAACAATAAAATAATAACAGTTTTGAAGAGAAATTCGGAAATAAATGTAGGATCCTATACGTACCCTATCAACTTAAAAATCCTTTATAAGGATGACTTAGAAATTTGGATAGTTCAGACACATTCATTTCCCTATACTGCCAATAATATTAGGGAATATAGTTTGTTTCTAGGTAGTTATTCCTAACTTAATGAAAGTGGAAATTATTCCGAAATAAAAATTAAATTTCTAGTAAAATACACGAGAAATAAATAAATTTCAAAAATTTATTTGTACTTAAAGCAAAACTTGATTTAATAACCGAAATTAAAATATTATTATAAGTATATATACCTATATTTACACAAATATAAAATATATGAAAGGCAATATGTAAAAAGTTAATTGAATTATTTTTATATTGCATATTTTAAATTTATTACTTATATAGAATAGTTTAAATGTTCAAAATAAGATACCGAATAGATTTACATATATGCATGTTATTTGCGAATTTGTAAGTGTTTACTTACAACGCATACTTAATTCTATATTACTAAATTTTTAATTTCTCTTTTAGTGGTTCGTTAAAAATTTGAAGTTGAAATCAAATTATTTTTAGTTTTTCATCGTAGTAATGGCATTTTATTAAATTAATATCAGTGAATGATTTAAAAAATTAAATATAATATTACATTACAAAACTATATTAAATTTTTTTTGTATAGTTGTTTTTCTAGTTTAATTTTCCAGTATTTACTTATTTCCTTCCTGATTTAAAAAAAATCAAGTTTTGAAATTTTCGCTGGCATCAAATAGATTCTTTGCTAGGATATTAAACTGATTTTTTTTTTTTTTGAAAATTTATGAAAATTAACTACTTTGTGCCATTTTTACAAACAAAAATAAGTAAGAAAATAATACATAAATTTAATTTTCATTTATAAATGAAGAAAATTAATTTTCATTTTTACTACTTTATAAACGTATTAAGTGCAGAATTTTAGAATCAAGTCTAAATAATTAATTACATAATGGTAAAAAACTTATAATTGGGTAGGTATGAGAAGTTCTAGAAATTTAAGATTTTAGATAATCTGAATAAATTTTTGTTATTGAATATTGCGGCACATGTTGTAGGTTTTTAGGTTCATAATTAGGAGCTTATATTAAAAAAAATTTTAATAATAATTTGGCAATTATAAATGTTAATGCATTTGTTTTAAAATAATAAAAAAACGAAACGTGATTTTTTGAAAATAAATTTTTATTTATAATTTTTATTAATATAGAAAGCCTTTTTTAAGAAACTAGAAACAATAAATTTACTGAAAGAAAATTCAAAATATTTAAAACTTTTATTTAAAGCCATAGATGTGATGGACCATTAAAAGCTCTCATAAAACATAATATTTTTTTTTCTAAACTAAAATTTTATCTTAAAAACTTATTATTAGTTAAAACTTTTCGTAGAAATCGTAAATTATTTTATGTAAATATTGCTTTTTACGGATTTTAATAAGTTTGCAATATTAGCGTGAATTTAGTACGTGAATTTACAGCGATATTTTTTAATTAGTAATAAAATAAATTGATTTTAGAAAGGAAAATTTATAAATCAGATACATATACATATATATACGTTATCTGTATAAAGAAACACAATGGCTTATGACATAAAAATTTATATATTAGAAGTGAAAATTTTGATGAAAGAAGCCATTTTTGAGGTGTAAATGTGCTGTTCCCACAAATCAATTCATATTTTGTGACATAATTTAGTCTTTCAATTGATTTTTGGCAAATAGATGTGGCAAAATTTTAGCTTTGAACGCCCTTTGAATTGTACATCTTTTTCTAAACTAGTTGAATTTTTTCAAAAATGTCTGACTGTATGTAATTTAAAAGTAGTAGGTATTCTTTCAGTATTGGTAGATTGAGATGATAATAGCATTTATCTACTTACAATGTTTTATTTGTTGAATATTTCTTTAAATTAAATAAAAATAATTCCACAGATGGATGTTATTAATTTGTATAATAATTAAAACTATTACTAAAATGGAAAAGAAAAGGGAACACTGAGTAGAATTTTTTTTTTTTAGTTTTTCGCCATTAAATGAGCAGATGTTCATGTTCATATACTAACTCTCACACTCATATACTAATACTCATACTCTAATACTCATATTTTACATATTTAAATTAATATTTTCTGTAATTCGAAGGTGTTTTAATATTTTTCTAAGCAAGTTGTAAATGATAAATTGAATTTAAAAAGTTTTTAATCTAAAACTGAAACAAAAAAAAAAACAATTTATTTTTATGATATGATTCATCCGTTTACTTATGTATATGTTATCCTATACCAGTACATATTATTTAATTGCAATGGAGAACGAAGAATCCATTTGTGGAACAAAAAATTTACCATTTTCATTATCCATTTAACCATTTTTTTGAAATGCTTTGAACTTTACATTGACAATCAACTGTTTATATTTTACAATCGTATAAAATTTTCAATCATCAGGTAATTTAACATTATTTTTTCGCCATACAGGTATGCCTCATATAACGCGAATTTTGTACAAAACATTTTCAATATAAAATGATTTACGCATTTAAATTAATTTTTAAGACTGAGTTCCAATTTAGAGTAGGGGAAAAGTGGAATAATATTTTATTTTTGTCCATTTATTTGACAAAATGGTTTATAATTTTTAAAAACGTAAAACAAAGATTTTCATCTTAAGGCCAATATTTTTGATCTCACTTTTAAATTGAGATTTACAGTCAGCGCCAGCTAGCGGAAAATATGCAGCTCAATAATTTATAAGGTAGCCTGTCAACTGCCTATTTTTCTTTGAATTTTTTTTTGTATTGTGCATCTTTAATTTATTATTTTATTTTGAAAAAAGTTGTTGGAACTCAAGAAATTTAGAGTTCAAATTAATACGAAAGTTAAAAGTCTTGTATAACGAGATTTATTTAATTAAAAATTTTAATGCGAAATTTTCTTAGAACGTAACTGCCGCGTCATATGAGGGAAATTTTAATATATTACAATAAGTTGCAACAGTATTGAACGCCAGATTTATTTGACTGCTTTAAATTTTTTTTAAATGGGGCGTTTTTTATTCACATATTTAAATAGCTATTATATAGGAAACTATTTGATGTAAAATTTTATACAAAATTTCTATAGTTGCTTTTGTTTTTCTTTTTTGATTTGATTGACGTAAATGATTCAATATGAACGTGTAAAATGTAGTAAC